TTTAGGGTTTAGGGTTTTGGATCTTTCGGGCATTGGGTTGAACAGTTGTGTGGTTAAGGGACGTTGATGGTATTGGTTTTTGCCTTTGGCTTTCTATATGTTGAGTTTAGGTGTAGGGTTTGGGGTTCAAGGTCTGGGGGATAAACACCGGGTTAAATGGTTCAGTGCTTTGGGGTTACCGCCCCAATTCATTACCAATACTACTTTGCGGTTCCTCACGAGGTATAGTATGATTTCTAGTTAGTAGTAAGGCCTCCATATTCCGGGTTTATAGGACTTTCTGTTGAGGGACCTCGTAAGTCGTAGGTCCTTAAATCAACCTACGCCACGGACTAATGTAGTGGCTTGAACTTGAGCGCAAGATGGTCACCGGTTTAGGCTTTGAGGGGTTTAGGAGTTTAGGGTGTAGGGCATAGATCTCCAAGGATTTCAGGGTTGCATTGCAATGAGTGATGCGATTTCGGATCTCAGCGCATGATCAGGTTGATCAGGCTGGTCAGGGATGTTGGATTCAGTCTGTGTAGTGATTCCAGTTGCATTGAGAGTTCCGCATGCAGCTCAAAGAGCAGAGGCAGGTTCCGTTTTGTATCAAGAGGATAGCAGATGCTCTAGACCCTTGAACCTGGCTACATCTCTTTTCTGCCGCATGCTGTCCTGTGTATTCTAATTCCCTCGATCCTAAACCCTAAACCCTAAACATGAAGCCTTCGGCCTTCTTTGAGCCCTAAAGCCGAAACCTTACGCCCTGGACCCCAAACCCTAAGCTTCCTAAATTTCCTCAAGCCCATTCCCTAACCCAAGCATCCTGCGAAATCCGCATGCTCCAACTTGCCAATGCGGATCAGACAATACTATTTTGGGGAGTTCCTTATCAGATTTATTGTAGAATATACCCTAAACCCTAAACCCTAAACCCTAAACCCTAAACCCTAAACCCTAAACCCTATTCTAATCATTACGGGCCCTACATTGCTTATGTTAGGCCTTCGTGCTTAGGAGGAGTTCAGCAGTCGGCCCAGTCAAGATCCCCTTATCACTAGACCCTGGTTTAGGGTTTAGGGTTTAGGGTTTAGGGTTTAGGGTTTAGGGTTTAGGTGAGCCCCCTGTCCCCAGATCCTAAATTGTACTATGGTATAGTATATTTTGGTATGTTATAGTATAGTATACTATGGTATAGCATCCTCTATTAACCCCCCTTAACCTGTAGGCCTAAACAACCCTAAACCCTAAACCCCAAACCCTAAACCCTAAACCCTAAACCCTAAACCCCAAACCCTAAACCCTAAACCCTAAACCCTAGCCTCTGCAAGAAGCGCGTAGGCACTGAAGACTTCCGATGCGGATTGCCAGCTCCAGTTAGAGCAACTCTCGCAGGCTCATGCCCTCAGCTTAGGGTTTGGGGCTTTAGGGGTTTAGGGGTTTAGGGTTTAAGGCTTAGGGTTTGGGGTTTAGGGTTTAGGGTTTAGGGCTTTAGGGGTTTAGGGTTTAGGACTCAGGGGTTTAGGGTTTAAGGCTTAGGGTTTGGGGTTTAGGGTTTAGGGCTTTAGGGGTTTAGGGTTTAAGGCTTAGGGTTTGGGGGTTTAGGACTCAGGGGTTCAGGGGTTTAGGGTTTAGGGTTTCTTGGGTTGAAGGTTTAGGGCTTCTTGGGTTTAGGGTTTAGGGTTTAGGGCTTTGGGTTTAGGGTTCAAGGTTTAGGAGTTTAGGGGTGTTCCGTTTAAGGTTTAGGGGTTTTGGTCTAGGTCCTGACCGGTGTTGTTCAGGAACCCTGTTTCTTTCAGTACAATATACGCTTTTTTATGCTCAAGCAGGTTATGCAACTACTATAGTCATGAATTATGGGTCTCAGGTCCTTTTAGTACATGATTAAACGGGCCCCCAAAAGGGTCTAGAGCGCTTACAGGAGTGAGTAAGTAGTGTTATAAGTAGGTAGTGTTATGAGTAAGTCAGGTAGCTATAGTTTGACATACTTTTCCTAAACCCTAAACCCTAAACCCTAAACCATGATGCCAGTTATGGTACTTGCAACCCTACTCCCTAAGTCCCTTGCAGCTCTGAGCATGGGGTCTCCTTTGAGGTTTAGGGTTTAGGGTTTAGGGTTTAGGTTTGAAGAGCGTGATTAAGGCTTATAAGGTTTTAGGGCGTTGGGTTGAAGGCGAAGCCAAATCTGTGCCGTTTCGCATCCCGGTAAGGCATCTGAGAGGTATGCTGTGCTGACTTCGGGGATTGGCACACACTTGATTTGAAAGAGGGTTTAGGGTTTAGGATTTAGCGTTTAGGGTTTAGGGTTTAGGGTTTTAGGGGTTTAGGGTTTTAGGGTTCTAAACCCAGTCCCTCGAATTCAAGACGATCAACTCGAACCCATGGCCTAGCTGAAGTTTGAATTGTGCAGCTTTGTTTGGAGGACGATCAGTATCGCATGGTGCAGGCATAGGTCGGGCTGCTGCACGTAACTGAGGTCACAAGACAGCCTTTTTGCAGTTCCTTCTTTGCGACCCTTGTTGCATGGAGCAATGAACCTTCAAGTAACCAAGCCTACCCCTAAACCCTAAACCCTGAAGACAAGAAGCCCTAAAACCCAAACCCTACAACCTTAAACCCTAAACCCCACACTCTACTAAAAAGACGCCGAAGCTGCAAAGCCATCGCAAAACCAGGACCTTTCTAGACTCAGAATCTCAGTGATTCGTAGGTGAAGCTTGTAAGTCCTAAGCCCTCAACCCTAAACCCTATAAGCCCTAAACCCTATCAAAACTCTGTGAATCGTAGATGAAGCTTGTAAGTCCTAAACCCTAAACTGTATAAACCCTAAACCCTGTCAAAAACTCAGTGAATCGTAGATAAAGCTTGTAAGCCCTAAACCTATAAACCCCAAACCCTATAAAGCCTAAGCCCTATCAACAACTCCTCGAATCTAGATAGAGCTTGTAACCTAAGTCTCTAGACAGTGAGATCTTCAGAGATTCTCACCCTAAACCCTAAACCCTAAACCCTAAACCCTAATACCCTAATACCCTAATACCCTAATACCCTAGACCCTAAACCCCAAACCCTAAACCCTAAACCCTCCTAAACCCTAAACCCTAATACCCTAAA